TGTATGTCTGTTAATGTTTCCCTCCTTTTATCCTTAACACCAAAAAAAAAAAAAAAAAAAAAAAAAAAAAAAATTACAGAAAAAGGAGAAAAAAATCCAACAAACATTATCTCAGCCAAGTAATTAAGATTAGCATCAATGAAGATATGTCTTATTTATGGGGTATACCCTTTAATATGATACAGTGAAAGTAATATATCTCTCGTTTTATTCTCCAGAATTCATAATATCAATTTAGTCAACAACCAAAAAAAACCATATCAGACAAATCCAAACTCTGGGCTATAAAATATCTGACCAGTACTCTTTAAAACTGTCAAGGCTATGAAAAACAAGGAAAGATTAAGAAAATGTCAAAAGACCAGAATAGACCAAACAAAAATAAAAATAAAAGCCAAATCCAAAATCCTGGATTTGACTTTGGAACACTCAGAGATCATTAATGGAGTAAATGGTGAAATCCAAATTAAGTTGGTAGTTAAGTTAATAGTACTATAATGATGTTAAATTTCTAAGTTTCAACAAATACATAAATGGCAGCTGGTCCACACCTGTAATTTAGAGGTGAGGCAGGAGGCTGAGGCAGGAGGAGCTCATGTTTGAGCCCGTCTGGGCAACTCAGTGAAATCCTCTCTCAAAAATAAGTGCCGAGTATGGTGGCACATGAATCCTAGCACTCAGGAGGCTGAAACAGGAGATTGTCTGCGAGTTCAAGGCCAGTTAGGGCTCCAAAGTGAGTTTAAGGCCAGCCTGAGCTACATAGCGAGACCCTGTCTCAAAAAGACAAAACAAAACAAGCAACTACATGTTGGGGAGCTGGAAATGTAGCTCAGTGTGAAGGCCCTGGATTCAGTCCCTATTACTCCCCCTGCAACACACATAGTGACAACCTTAGCAGAAGAGAGAAAGGTATACAGAAACTAGTTCTCTATGTCATCTTTGAAACTTCTCTATAAATTTAAAAGCATTCCAAAATAAAAAGATTTAAAACAGTAAGTTTAAAGTGAACTTATTTCAGAAGTCAAAAAGAGGTGATCTTGCACTTATGCACTAAAGTAACTGGGATTCCCACAGAATTCCAACAAACATGATCATACCATTTCCTAATCAACAATACACTAAAACCTACATGTAAGTAGAAAAATAATAATTTCATGGAAGATCAATTTTTTACCACCCAAGACAGGGTCTTATCATGTAGTTCAGTCTGGTCTTCAACTCACTATGTGGCCCAGGCTGGCCTCAAACTTGCAGTCATCCTCCTGCCTCAGCCTCCCAAATGTTGGGGTTTACAGATGTGTGCCACCACACCCAGCAAAAATAATAATTTCTTATGAAGGGACAATACATTACCAAAAAACAACAAATTTTTAAAACATAAGTTTAGGGCAACTTTGAGTAAAGAAAAAACAAAATCCTCAGAAGTTATTGAAGGTGTATGGTGGTACACACCTCTAATCCTAGCTACTCCACAGGCTGAGGCAGAAGGATTGCCAGCCTGGGCAACTTAGTGAGACCCTGTCTCATACTAAAATAAAAACAAACACAAAACAAAAAGTCCCTGAGTATAACACAATTGAGTATGCT